AAAACCGTTGCGACTATTAATTTACTGGTATTGCAACAACCCTATATTTAAATATTATACAATTAAGGGTGTGCGATAGACTCATGCTGCAAAAAAGTCTCTTAACTGGCAGCTGACTTCTAACTTCGAACTACCATCACCACACTGTATGTCAAATTCAACTACTTTCACAGTACTCACCTTACCTTTTTCTACCTTTGTGTCTGTCTCTTTTACATCTTTGAAGCACTCTTCTGTTCCTCCCCCCTCCCCTCTCGATTTTTTTCACTTTGATGTTCCTCCTCCTTTCCGGGGAAGCCTGAAGTCAACTAAAGGGCTAGTGATAACCGTCGAGACGCCTGCCAATTGATTTAGATAAGTAATATTATACAATTACAAGTGCCTGTTCTCTTGTTGTACGGAATTAAAACTTACGTGAAATGAGATCCATTTTTCCACGAAAATAGCGTCTATACAGGCATTAAATTTTCCTTCCCATTAGATTAAGTCAAATGAATATTATGCGTTTTTAAACGCATTATCAAGATCATTTCATATGCAAGAATAGTTCCTCAATAATTATTCTTTCGTTTCCGGGACAAAATGCAGTTGGTATTCCAGTAAATGCTCAGCATCAAGAGTAAATGTCAATTAGGGAAGATAATCATGCGTAAATCTCTTTGCAACATTCCGTTTAATAAATGCACAAGAAGAATTACTTCAAATCTATTTTCTGAAACTCATTATTCATGTTATTTTTTCGATTGGCTGGAGTAACTTCTCTCCGTTTCCACGACATTAATCTCAACTTATTCCTTTTGTCGTGCCAATAAATGCTCATCATATCTTCGTTTTCTTCTACTATCCTGTTTTATTTAAATATACCCCCCCCCCCTCCACCCCACCCCACATCGCAGTTCCAACATTTACGCCCATTTAACTCATTCAACCGCTCTCTTGGATTTCATTGTATTTATTTAAAACACTTTTGTCCTCACGCCAAATCTTGACATTCTGTTTTAGGAAGTGTGGTATGGCGCTGTTAGTCTAATTCAATAAGTAATTTTTGAACTTCGATTACCGATGTAACTAAATACTACCGAGAACAATAGTGACATAAATAGCCTCTGTACAACGGCCCCATTAAGTCTACTTTCTGGGTCTGACGAGTATGCTTGACGCAGTCAATGTGATTACGTCTTATATTAGGCAACGTAGGCAATACCTCCATCTTTTTGCATCAAATATAAGCTCTCAGGTTTATATATGTATGTATTACAAGTGCTAGCATTTTTATTTCCTATTTGAGAATTGTAAAGAAAAATTGCTTAAGGCCGAAAGCAATGGAATGCATTGAGATAGCTTGTCCTTTCAACAGATGGGGAAAAATGGAGCTCGACTACAAGGCTCTGATCATCAGAGATAAACATTTACTGGAACGTGAACTGCTCATTCAGTAGATATTACATTAGCTAAGGTGGTCTTACAATGGATTCCTGGTCACTGTGGCATTATAAGCAACGAGCTTGCTGACGCACTTGCTAAGAAGGGGACAATAATTTCACAAGGCATAGACCGACGGATCTCTTTCAACACAATGAAGACCTTAATCAGGAGAGAATTCAAGACCTCAAGATGCAACGAACTTAAAGCTCGAACAAAGGGAAAACAGTGGACAGTGGCACTCGCCGACATAGCGATTGGCCAAGAATCGAAGCCGTTGCTGAGTTTAGACTACGTACCGGACACGATTTCTTACCAAAACACCTTCACAGATTGGGAGTATACACTCAACCCACATGCCCCCTATGTAACCTACAGGAGGAAATGGAAAAGACCCACCTGATCCGGTGTCCAGCCCTAAAGACAATGACGGAAAGCCAGAGATACTGGGAAGGAAGAAGACAGCTAATGAACTGCTATTAATTAACTGCTATTTATGTACCCTCTTCCTCCACCCATGGGGAAAGCTGAAGTCAAAGTTTAAGGGCTAATGATAAATATCATAAAGCCTGCCATTTGAAGAAACACATTAGCTAAAGCAAAAAATCGAATGAAGTAAGATTCCTTGAAATTTCGAAACTGCTCCAAGATTGTTTTTTTTGATTCCCTCCTCTTCATAATTTGTTGGACCCCACTCTCCTCCAATGTCAGTTTCTTTTCATAATTAAATACGGGAATGTTTTTTGTTTACCTCTGGGTAATATAAGTGCCACCTAAGAGCATTAAAACAGCAATGGACCAATACCAATCTCTACAGCTTTAAGTTAATTCGAGTTGAGTACTACTATTACTTGAGGAAATATGAGATATGAGGTTATGCCCGAACAGGCCAATGATTCGACCACATTTTTTAATGAAATTCAGTTCTTATTTTTAGTAAAACAGGTCTTAACCTATTTACAAGGTTACAAAATTCAGCATATGGCGGTTAAGTACAAGTTGTTAAAAGACGTATTTAGGCATTCTAACTTGTGCATTGATGTTCATGCTGAACAGTCTTGAACTTTGCTGTGAACACTTCTAAGTAGGAATATGACGCATTCACACGATACCTCTTCATCACTCAGTATTTAACTGAAATAATTTAATGGGCGAATTGGTCAAAGAAGGATTTAAATTACCAGTTAAAATGCCCAGTGGGTGTCTTCAAAATCATTTACTTTTGAATTTAAATTTCTAAGGCAAATAATTTATATATGTGTGTAGATCAATACGGCTTTGAATACATACTTCGAGGAAAGTTTGAGAGAATTTTATAATTTCAATTTTTACTGGTCAGTATAAAAATGCACTACGTGTAACAATAAGAAATTTTACACTTTACAAATAGATGCTTGAGATCAGTCTGCGTCCGCACACGGTGAAGGAAACATCTATCATAAGCCTTTCTTCCAAGAAAAATGGTTCAACATTATTTATGAGCAATAAATTTCATTTTAGCATTATGGGCAATATGTGCAACACCAAAGCAGACAGAGAAGGCAAGAGACAACGAAAGCTACTTTACTTTGACCAGAATTTCAAGGTCTTGAAGACTGCTGAAGGTGCTACCGACATTTATGAACAAGTGGTGAGAGTCCGTCGCCCATGTCACTTTTGATTTGAAGGAATAAAATCGGCAATGGGAATTGAACTGATGTGCCACAACCAGCATTACCAACCAATTTTGATGTTGACATAAAAAATTCCTAGTTAAATCAGATCCTCGATGAAAAAGAGAAGATCCATCTGAAATCGTAAAAATACTCTTGAAATGCATTTGTAATTTGAATAGGACTGGAATTCGGGTTTGCATCACTGGTGTAACGAAGATGAGAGGAGAAACTTGTACATTTCTCTCTTATCTTGATATCAAAGAATTCTTTCTTTTCTACATAAATTTGTTACTTGGACCGGGAAATATAGTGCTTATGACAGAGCTAATGGAGGAAAGCGATGTTTGTGTCCAAATAAAACACTCACTTCATTCCTTAGGCCAAGCCAAAGTTGTCCCTCAGAAACTCCTTCCATGTTTTTCTGTGGGATGCACGTGGAACAGTCAGTGACGAATTGTCTAACGCAGGTGAAACACATTGAGTGGGGGTTTGTGAAGACCAAATCAGGGAAATAAATGAAAAAAACTGTGTTCGCTTATTTGATAGGAAAGTTGTAATTCGTCAACATATCACTCAGCAGACCTCTAAAGAAAGAATGACCTCCTGAAAAATTCAGTAATTACAGTGGGAGGTTCCAACACATTTCCACACTTGCCAGACCTTGTGCCTTTCGATTTCCCCCTTTTAAGCATCACAAAGCATTCTCTAGGAAAAATTAATTTCGAAACTTGATTGAAGTTGGAAGCCACTTGAAAGAGTATTTTGTAACAAAGAGGTGGGTTATGTCAATATAATTTAAAATGAATAAGTTTTTAATGCTGATTTATCAAGGCTAATATTTTTATTGGTACCCTAAATATTTATTAATACTTTTCTCAGGTAACCTTTGAAGAACTCACTTCGAATCTAATGTCAACGTTTGGGTGACATTATTTTTTTAATAAGGCTTAAGGCATCTGGACATTCTTGGTGATTGGAGGGCCTTGACAAAAGTGAGTTCGTAGGCAGTGCAACTGAGCGCTTTCCCGCGAATCTCTACACATAGTTGACAGTTTTGGAATTCACTCGTTTTGTTAGAGGAATTATTAGGGCAAGAGAACTTGGGGGTGTGGGGGAGGATCTGGGGAAGGGGGTGGAGTTTTCCGATGAAGCCTGCGATGAATTTTATAGTACTTGCAGTATCATGAACACTGCCTTGTTTTACTACATTCAAATTTGATAAGTCAGCTGTGGATGGAGAGTGGTATAGCCGCGTTCTAGCCGATCGTACAATATTCTAATAAATAATAGTATTAAATAGATATTTCAAGTTGCAAAATTTACAGTCCTCTTTTAAGTTGAAAAGAAAAGTATTAATATGAATATATAAATGTATATAAATATATGTTAGTGTGCACGCACGCTGTGTGTCCAAACGAGCGCTTGGCCGCCACATGGGCACACGGGGGTTGGTAAGACAAGGCACAGTCATTGCAAATATGAGATGCTGTCCAGTGGGGATGGACTACGTGGGCGAATGGTGAGTGGCCAATCAGCTAGGAGAAAATGGCCTTTTCAGCATTCAGAGGGAGAGAGAGAGAGGCAGCGCGTAAAACACACCGCGAAGGAATAGCGACACATGCATTCCTGCTACTGGTATTAGTACTGTTGCCACCGCCTCTATTTTGCCAGGATTTGCTGTCTTAATTGTGTAATTAGTGTAGCCACTGCTGCCTTCAAAGTTCATTGTGGACACTTACTAAAAATAACAACTACAATTATGGACTGAAATCACTTCAATGCTGTATCTGGAGATATGCAGTGTTTTATTATCTTATGGATTATAGTAAAGCTACTCAGCTTGGACATTATTTTGAGGACATTTGCACCAATTGCTGGCAAGTTCGAAGTCATTTAATTAATTTCCGAGTGTATTGAATACAATTAAATGCTATAATCACATTGTGCGCGATCAATCATTAATGAGTATTTTTGCCTTTTATTATTGGAATCCCTGGTGTAGTGGCTCCTTTATAGATGTTTATTATATAGCGTGCAATTAATTGTAAGAGTAGTAATTAAAATAATTATGTGTGTTAAAATCATTTAAGCAATTATTCTCAGACTAATATTTCTATTTACACTCAAGACCTTTTAACTCCCTAAAGGGTGAGGTTTTGATGCTTTTCATAGCGAAAATTTCTCGTAAATGCGGAGAAAGTTGAAATAGAGAAATGGCAATTAAGGTAATTTTAAATGATTTTTTCTCATGCAAACCTAATAAAAGGGAAAATGCATGAACTGGAAACTGACGCAATTTACCAGTTCAATCATGATCCAATACGCATGAATTTGCTTCATCAAAGCTTTAGTTTAAATGAAAAATTAAATTAGCATTCATTGATCAGACGCAAAATTTCCTCAGTGGAAACCTTTTAGGCTTTATCAATCTTGTTAAATTTAACTCATTAAAATTTATTTTTTTTTGAAATATTGTTGAATTAGCATTAAATTCTGAAGATCGGCATTTCAATTATTCATAAATAGTTACAACACAATAACATTTTTAAAAATAATTCACAAAATCTAACACTTCATGAAATTTTTATTATTTTCTCTATTTTGTAAGTCAATTTTTTGCCTTGTTGAAAGTAAAGCCGGTGATGTCTCGATTTTGGCTCAAAAGAACCGATTATGATTCGAAAGAAAGTCGTTTGGAATCTTGGCGAAATCACTTCCACGAAATAAAAGTGGATATTTGTTGGTGTAAGGTTCACCGGTCGTCCCTCTTCCCCCCCAATAAATCAGAAACCATTTGCGTCATTAATATAGAAGAACTTCAAAGATCGTCGTTGACTACACCGTTGATCATTTACTTAAATTAGATAATAAATATATGTAATGCCAAATCGCTTTCTATTCTGGCATTTATTTATTTTATGTTCCTTATGCATCTTTTTGCATTTACGATAAGGGCTTTTAGTTATTAAAATCAGCAAATTCCTGCTTTATAACTATTCTGCTAAGCTTGTATTTTGGTCAAAATGTCAATGAAACGATACTCTCCGGTGCCAAAAAAACACATGTTCCACCTTCTCAATAGACTACTTCTACGCCATTATGTATACACTTCAGTTATTACATTTAATGGAGGTCATGACCTTCTGGAAAGTGTCACAAGACTCCTAGATCAAAAGAGTACATCAAATTTCTTGTATCAAATATTTTCATAATGCTTAAGTTTCCCATTACACGAAAATTAGTTGCGAAACTTAATCCAACACTTACTAGTCTGAAAGGCCGTTTTTCAGTGAAATTTTTTTCAAACTTCAACTCAATTGGACACTTGATCACTTTGAAGTCAGTCACGAAGTACCTTATTTTCCGTTCATTTTTCGCTTCTCTCTGTCCTGGAAAAATTCAATCAGAGTAAAATCAATTTTAAGGAGATCTTGAGTTAATCTTTTTTCTAGTTGTTCTTTTTCGCAGTCATTAACGCTTTTAATTAAGAGTGTTTTCTTTAATTGAAGTCGTACCATGTCATGAAAATTTTCAATTAATTTTATCCCCCCAGTGAAAGCATTAATTAATTTTCCAGTATTACCGCAATCACCCAATGTTACGATCGAGAGAGAGAGAAGAGAAGAACTCAATTTTGGTGGTGTGTGGAGGCTTGGCTCTGGTTTTAAATCATGACATTTAAAGGCAAAATTTGACAAAATTAGCACACAGTGCGTTTATCGTTACAGAGTAAGTTTAAAGACTATGCCTCGAATAAACATCCTTTCAGTAACTATCGGCAAATTAACATTTCAAATTAGTGTCTACCTTAACTTGTTGCCAAATTGCAACCAGACCCATTCCCTCCAAAATGAAATAGAAACTGCCTAATTGTAAGTCTATCATTTCTATGGGAAGGGGGGAGGGGAGGTATATTTATAACTTTCTGGTTTGGAAAGTCCCAGCCCCACTGATTGAATATATTCGAAGGAATTACATTCGGCTTGAAACTATTTTGATTTAGGAATGGATAGGTAGTGTGAGAAATAATGAATTCAATTCAGGGAAGTAATTTTAAATTCATTTGCATCTCTATTGTAGATGTTTAAAACACCAGTTGGAGTCAACTCGATAAAAGCTTGCATCCAAAAATATGGCGATTTGTAACCTGATGTAGTTGGAACAATCAATTGTTGCAATGATTTTACAATTATTACCGAGTTAAAATCGAGTTATTCCAAAAGATAATGAATCTTCATGTTCAAACCTTGTGCACAGTGGAGACTAATTTAATTATGATTTTGAAAGATGAGGCAGCAAACTAGCAATAAATAAATAATTTCCAACCCGAAGGTAAAAACTGGAGTAAATCTCTTCCCTGAATTACACTCCAAACCTCCACACGATTCCTTGCGTTTTATTATTTACTATTTCCTAATTTTCATTACCTTCCAAGAATAAAAATAGCTACCTTATTGTGAAAAGCAACATCTAAATAATTTTGGCATTTTTAATGACAACTGACGTACTGTCAGTCATTCTATTACTTTTATTAATTTCAACATTTCTCCTCATATATGATAGTGTGCTTTGCTGTGAAATATTCTTCATACATTATTTGTTTAACTAAGGTGAACCGAAATGAACAGATGCGGGAAGATAAGCATTTTTTTTCAATACCTTTAACGGCATATGCTTTCTTCCGCTTGTTGTGTTTTTCTAATTATTCTACAAAAATTCAGTCCTTGTTCGAGGATTATTTTGGTATTCCCCACGTACCTAAACCTTGAAATGCTGGAATTACATTTTGCCTTGTATTGCCTAATTTATGTTCAATTAAAGTTTGAATAAAAAAATATTATTTTCTCACCTTTAAACAAACTAACTTAGTTGCACCTAAAGTTCACCTTTTCATTGTGCAATAATTTCAGAATGGTCTTAAAAGTGGTCTCTGTTGTGTTCGCATAAGCTGCCAGACTAGAGAGCAAACGATGCTTGACTTCTGGGTGCATTCGGTGCTCCACTGGAGCATATCGAAATAAAAAAGTAAGAAAAAAGGTTTTGACAAATTTTAAATGAAAGTTTAAATAAAGAATTTTCGAGGTTTCGTCCCTAGTCCCTTAACCATTATACCAACTTAAAGCAAAAAACAAATTTTAGCTTTTCATATTTTCTTTTACCTCTATTGATTTGTTTTTATTTAATTGTACGCAAGCATTCACTTCATTTGGATATTTTGTTGAAATAAATTTCAAGAATCTCTTAAACCTTTAGCATAAAATATACTTTGAGGAGACGTTTAAAGTAATTATTTTCTTAACACTTTCATTCAACGCTTTTTAATAAAATAAAGGGTAAAGGTAAATCGGAGCTTTCTATTTAGAAAGTCTTTTTTAATCGTTACCGGCTCTTCATTATATTACCAATTTCAATATAAAAATTCACTTGTATAGAATACAGGGGTTGCAACTTGAATTTTTTAGACAATGAAATATTATTTAGTCGACAATTATCACCTCCAGTAAAGGAGAATATGACCGTTGAATCATGCACAACACCACTTCCCAAAGCCTGTGGAAATGTGCGACTTTATTGCCCCATTCACTGCGACCATTAAATCCACTTTGTCGTGTTTCACATGTTCGAAGCATTTTTCAGGGCGGTCTATTCAACTAAAGGCGAGTATTTCCCTCCGTGTGCATGTCCATTATCCTCTCCCATGCCAAGGACATCTTGTACTCTCTTCAATTTCCACTGTTGCATAAAAGTTTCGGACAATGGTAGATGTTTTCACTTAGTAATACTCCTTTTGGGAAATAATTCCTGATTTCATTAATGCATTAATGAGGCAAGTCCCGTTCGAGCAATAATAAGCGCAAGAGGCCAAAAAATTAAATTAAAGAGGCTTTGAGAAAATATTGCACGTTCACAAAAAAGCTCGCTTTTCCATAAGTTTTTGGGAAATATTTTAAAGCAAAAATTAGTAATATATAAGTATCGCAGGAATTTTTTATTTTTGTTTGCTAAAAACCAGCTTAGTTTGCAGATCTGAACTAATTTTTGAAATATGTATAACTGACCAATTTTTCCCTTTAAGATCAACGATTATACGCTTTCACTTTTGTCGGAGTTATTTTACTTATTAGGCAAGAGGTCTAAAATTTACTCTCATTAAAAGAGTAACAAAATTTATGCATTTAATTTCATTTGAGTATGTATTCTCACTGTTTGCCATGTTTTATAACCAGTAGATTTATTTGATCATGAAGTTCGAGCGGAACTGATCCAAATGTACCCCCCGACTTAGCATAACACTCAGATTTCACCTTTATAAATTTGGAACATTAATGATGTTGCATGCTTCAAATGATCGCCATCAATTATATGGCTTAAAAATCGAGTTGGGAAAGCTGTAAATTATTGTCCAAAATGGCATATTTGACAGCAAGTGTATTTCATGCAGTTCTTCACAGTTCTAAATTTACCTTTTACTAATTAAAGATTTAATAGCGAGCTTCAAATTCCATTTTCCATTTCTTCCGCACAAATTGCTTCCCAGACTGATGTATAAAATCTTGCTCATATATTAAAACAGGTAAAAGAAATCACTAACAAGGTTTTCTGATTGGTTAAATGTAAATATGAATATGTATTTAAAATGGAATAAATTGAGAAGATAATGACATTTGGATGAATTTCACGCGGAAATAGTCGAAAGACAAAGATTTGGCCATTGATTAGGCACAGTGTTGGGTAGGGGGCGGAAATGTTGCGTCTCGTTGGCGGGTGTGTAACGTGGGTGGGCAAAATTAGGGATAATTGTACTGTGAGCACAAAGGATAGTGGAGTAATGTTGCAAGAAATGCACTGATGCTAACTTTTCCATCTGTGCCCAAACTGTGGGCAAACTCTCAAGAGGGATTAAATTAAGCAAACAGTTTATTAATTCTGCAGATATTTTAATTTAAAAAAAATTAAGCAAAATATGCTTAAATAACTTAACATATTATTTATATCAAATGACGGGCGTTTTGATAGATATCATTGGCCCTTTGGTTGACTTCAGGCTTCACAGAGGGGAAGGAACATCAAAATGAAAAAAGTCGAGAGGGTGGGGGGGGGGGGGGGGGGGGGGAGAGGAACAGAAGAACGTTTCCAATATGTAAGAGACAGACACAAAGGTAGAAAAAAGGCGAGATGAGTACTGTGGAAGTGGTCGAATGTGGCATACAGTGGGGGATAGTAGTTTGAAGTCAGAAGTCAACTGCCGGTTAATAGACCTTTTTTGTCATATGAGTATACGTTGCCCAGGGTGTACCACGTGGAGGTAGGTCTATTGGACACCCCATAACTTAACATTTATTATTGTATTTATTCCTGTATTTTCATCCATTAGGTTCATTGCCAGAACACATCACACTGCAAATGGAACTAGAAAAAAATATTTATTTGCATAATAGTAATGACTAGCAAGGCATGTTTCGGAGGTGAAATCTACGTACCTGAGTAGAATTCATATCTAATGAATGAGGAAATTCATTAAGACGATTCTCGTCAAAGATCAAGCTTTTCGAATTTTACAGAAGTGAAAACGGCGCGTCTGGAGCATCTCACTTTCTCATAATTTTACTTGGAGGAAGTAGTTGTTACTCAGGATTTTACAGCATTTTCTCAGCAGAAATTCAGAGTAATCAGTTTATAAAGTGCTCCACTGTTGAGGCATAGTTATCAGACATCAAATATATGTTCAGTCGTACCGTGCTAAGATTTATTGTTGATAAGTACTTTAATTTTGCCTAAAATTCTTAATAGAATATTGGCTATTGTATATAGAATTTAAAGAACTGATTGAGGCTAGATAACTTACCTAATGTGTATGAATTCATATATCGTAAATCAAGTAATATAGAATTCGTATTTCTATATATTCACTATTGAATCAAAGATTTTAAGAAAACTTTGTTCCGTTATTATGAAATATTATATTTTGTACTTTAGGCATGTTTAGTCTCCATGTTCAACTTAATTAATTTCAATAGGTTCAAGAGAAGACATTGCATTCGAGACTGTCATTCTCAATAATTTAGATTTTAAATGCATGCTTTTACATCTTAATTGACAAATTATATATTAATCTCCTCATTATGAATCGTAGCATACACAACTAAAGATTTATTTTAACCTCAAACTTCAATTTGCGTCTTTACCTTACCTACTAGTTTGATCAGTTTGTACCGCTTAATCAAAGAACCTTTAAAGCAATGCATTGTCACCCTGTTGCTAAGTGACTGTAACAAATGACGACATTAAGGTAACACAATGACGGTAAAATGAATTTAAGTGAAATGCTAACTTGTCTTTGGGGTGGGGTTGAAGTTTCGTGTTGATAAATATTTCAGATAAACAAATCATTCGAATTCCAAGAGCTATCCAATTAACTATGCATATTTATTGAACTGATATTATTACTGAGCAGGGAAACATCAAAACTTCTTCTTCCAACTTTTCGATCTCGAGGACCCAAATTTACTTGTCTAAGTAGCATCATAAATCATTTAGCCTTTGTTATTATTTGTTACATAAGATTCTGTTGACCGATTTTTTCTTTAATCTCAACGCCATTAAGATCGTCCAAACAGTTTAATTTTACCTTCAAAAAATAATTTAAGTAAATTTGCCTTTTTGCACTTTCTGAATACTAGAAGCGATTCATCCCACAACGTATACATGCAGTCCAGGCACTTCTGAGGTGATGATAGATTCAGAAACTTCTGGAACCTTTCACAGTCCTGGATGGCCGAACTCCTACAGCTCGGATAGTCGTTGCCTCTTTCGATTCATGGCTCCTCCAGGGCGAAAAATTCTTATTGAATTCGCCTATTTCTATGTTGAAGGGCTTTATCCCTAGTGAGTTCTGAAATTTTTTCAAGCAAATCATAAATGGCTTTTTATTATTTATTTTCAAAATATGGTTCAAAGTTCTTTCCCAAAAAAAGGTAAATATAAGTATGATATGCACTAGTAAACGTCATACGTCATAATACTCAGTAATTAAAGATTGGCGTATTCTTCTTTTCATAACAATTCTAGGTTTAAGTTTCCTCCCTCACGTCACAGAGAAGTGAGTATTTCCCCGTAAAACGCGACTGAAAAGAATGCTAGTTTGAACTAACGACCAGTACTAATACTCTTCACAGCCGAGTTTAAGACTTAACTACACTGGATTGTGACACCTTAAAATTTCATTGAGAAAATGGATTGCCCAATTCCTTCCTGTTCAACCTATACCTTTTATAATAAATATTAGCCAACCGAAAGTTTCCCTCAAATTGACTCATAAAAAAGGTTGATTGTTTTATTTAAAATTCCTCTTTTCGACTTTTTTTACATTATTATTTTGGCTTATTGTACCTTGATTGACTCTTATTTAAATATCACTGATTACATTATTATTAAGTAATCTCATTCAATTTTACCAATATTTTTATAATAATCGGCAAGGAATTTTGACTTTTTTGGGTATGAGGTCCTTTACAACCATTAAAATATCATTAAATAACAGTTGCTAGTGTTCAGGAAAACGGAATATTAAAGTGTTAATAAAAAATGGAATATAATTGAAATTCCTTTCGGATATTTATTTAAGAAATATCAGAGGCTTAGCAAAAAATGTAATGTTATATTAGGGTGTAGCAGGTGCTCACATTATGATCTTTAAATATTTATTTATTTTAAATGGCAGGCGTTCTGATAGATATCTTTGACCATTTGGCTGACTTCGGGCTTCACAGAGGGAAGGTTCATCAAAGTAGCAGAAAGTCGAGGGGTGGGGAACAGAAGAGCGATTCACAGATGTAAAAGAGGCAGATAGACACAAAGGTTTAGAAAAAGGTAAGGTGAGTGCTGTGGAAGGGTTTGAATATGACAACCAGGGGGGTCGTGGTAGTTTGAAGTC